GTGAATGTTACACTGGGACAGCATGTGGACTGCTTAGGAAAATTATTTTGATATATCAAAGCGTGTCCTTGTTGTACAGGAAATTAAGGTGAAAAATATGTGTCCCTGTACCTATTTGATTCAGTAAATCCATAAATAATGAAATATTAACAATAGCACCTGGTGGATCCAATAAGTTTCAAACCAGAAAAAAAGAATTAAGAAATTGTGTGTACCTGTACTATGCATACATACATAGACAAAAAAACAAATCCTGCTATCTGAATTTGTCAATACTTTAGACTTCTTTGGAAGCAATTCAAATAGAAGTTTATTATTTGGGACCAGTGGATTCATAACATGTTCTTTTGTACAGTAAAGGACATTTGATTCACTTCAGAAATGTGCTTTGGTTTATAGACTGTCTTTCTTCCCATGTGACCTCATTTACTGCTTTTGGAGATTTTTGTTTTATTTGCCAGAAGGTTTGCACACTTACCAGAGAGAAACCATGGGGGGGTGGGGAGGGCACGGTTATAATTCAATCCCTTCTTCTCCATTTTTCCATCCTATTGAGATTTGGGGTATGAACTCAATGTGTTTTTCAAAATGCTGGGGTTGAGATTCAAACCACAGTTGGTCATGAAGGATTCAGCTCCCTTAACCACCAGGACACCAGACCAGTTCCTTATTTACTATTCTAAAAATATATCCAAAAAAATGATAGTAGCAACCCAAAACCAAATATAGGCCCTGAAAAGGGCCTTGCTCAACCAAGGGATATGCACATTTGTTACACTAATCTCTCAGGACTCGGGAAGTGGCTGAGTAAATGGTTTGTTTGGCTGTATTAGAAAATATACCTTGGGACCAAGCAGTTAGCGTAATGGCTATGTCGCTGAACTCCTATGTAGCCGATGGCGGTTTGAGTCCCAGCCCTGGTGGCTTAAACTCATGCCGGGCACGTGTGCGTGCGTGCCCAGGATCCTAAGAGGAGAATGGATGAGAAAAGATTGCAGCGGGGCCTCCACCCCGGGGGGGTGATTTCTCACTTTCTATCTCTCTGTCTCTCTCTGTCTTTCTGGTGAGCGCACGCGCCCTATAGCAAAAACATCTCCAAAACAAAGAAAAGAAAATATACCTTAATACCAACTATTACCCATATAGGTTTATGCTCATTCATCATTTTGTTAAAAACTAATGGGGCCAGCTGGTGGCACAGTGGTTGGGGTGCTGAATCCCACGTGGCCAACTGCACTGTTCTGGTCCCAGACATGGCAGATTGAAAAGCATGCCAGGAATGTGTGTACGTGCCCAAATTCCTGTGAGGAAAATAGAGGAGAAGGGATTGTGGAGTGGCCATCCTCCTTGGGAGGTAATTTCTTGCTTCCCTTCTCCCATTTTCACTCTGTCTCTGGCAAGTACATACACCCTATAGCAAAAAAAAAAAAAATTAAAGAACCTTAAGTTGCTCATTTGTTTTATCAAATAGCTTTAACTACAGTTGTGAATATTTCTGCCTGTTCACACAGTAACCTGAGAATTTAAATAGATATAATTATTTCCATTTTTTTATAAATAATAGTGGAGGGAACAAGCAGATAACACAGACGAATACGTGTGGAGAGACGAGAAGTACAGGCAGGCCCTCTATAGAATATGGCAGTTTCTTGCATTTTGTTCTTTGAAACCTATGAAACCAATATTTCCGATCACAAGCGAACTCACCAACTTTGCACACCATGCACACCAACATCAGTGATAACTGCTGATACCACCCACGTGACGAGCAATCCCAATGCATTGCTGGGCTCTGTTTTATTAGGATTTGTTTTCTTTATACCTTATCAAAATTAACTCCTTTTTTTTTTTCCAGATCTGTTTTTTGTAACCTGTATGTTTTTACATACAAAAACATGAAAGAAAATGGTCTCTTAGTTCACTTAATCCTCTGTGGACCCACAGAGGTGAACTGAAAAAGTGGTGGCACTATTATAAAAAAGGAGAGGTCACTTGCATTATTAGCCTACAGGTCATACGACTGAAGTGCGCTCTGTTTTCTGATGTAGTTGTTTTGATTTTAGGAACTTTTCAGCCTTTCCCTATTCAATTCACATAGAGAACATTTAAGTATCTAGAATACACTCGCTGTTACTAGAGGCAAAGCAATGAAAACCTTATAGATGGTGCTCATGTCCACTCCAGTATCAAATGAGCTACTAAAGTTGGGATTTGTGATTCTGAGTAAGTCTTAGCACCAAGCATGTCTTAAATGCTCAAAAATATGAAGTATCAGCAAAGTGGTAACAGCTGTTCTTTTGTTTGTTCATTTTAAAGTTTTTGCCATAGGGTGTATGCGCTTGCCAGAGAGACAAAGCGAGAAGGTGAGAAATCACCCCTCCGGGGAAGGGCCATGCCACAATCCCTTCTCCCCCATTCTCCTCCCGGAATGTTGGGCATGCTTGCATGCGTTCCCGGCCATTTCAAGCCACTGGATCCAGGACTCTGATGGTGGTCTCCCATGCAGGAGTCCAACACCTTAACCACCACGTCTACTGCTGGCCCAACAGCTAAGCTTTTTACAACCAAAATAATATGATTAGTGGCCTATAAAAATAGGAATAAGTGTACCAAACACACTGACTATGAAAAGCACACTAAAATATTCAGGCAGTATAATTTTCAAAAACTATATTATATCAATAATTTAACCAAACCGATCTGCCAGCTAAGAGAAACCTTACATATCTGACAATAACATGGCTACTGTCTTAGACAAGTGTAGACTTTGAGATCATCGAAATGGCTCTGACGTATTTTTTAAAAGATTAGGCTGATGCGGTGATCCTTTATTCGTAATGTATGTCACCTTGTGAGTAAGTGTATGCAGTAACCATACTAGTGAAGCTGTTTCCCAATACTGTAATGATTCCACTTGATAGACTTCAAAATTCATTGGAAATCTCTGGAAATAGCTATCAAGTTATTGGGACAGACACTGAACAGACCGTCAAAATGCGTTTTGTAGCTCTGTTAAAATTGACCATAAATTGGGGCCAGCACATGGTGTAGTGGTTACATTACTAGACTCACACATGGCCAACTGCTGTTCGAGTCCTGGACCCAGTGGCTTGAAAATCATGCTGGGCAGGTGTGTGTGCCCATGATCTCAGGAGAAAAATGGAAGTGAAGGGACTACAGCATAGCCATCCCCGTGGGGAGTGATTTTTCACCTTCCGGCTCTCTCTGTCTCTTCTCTCTCCAGTGAGTGTACATGGGGGGAAAAAAGACCATAAATCAGACAAATGTAGTTGCTTTGATTTGATAAGGCATTGAGTAAAGGTTTTAGAGTTGGTACACTAGGATTTTACTGGGTGACACTGAAGAACTGGGGCTGGCCCTGCAGCATTTGGAATGAAGAGAGCCTCTATCCCTGATAGATGAGCACCTACCACACTACTGGGCCTATGATGGGAACTTCAAAACGTGTTCAATGAATACACTTATGAAGCTATGGGAGAGAAACTGAAGATAAGTAGAAGTGATATGCAATAAATTAGCAGATCGCATATCAGTTGAATTTACCCATTATCTATCTATTTTATTGTCTTTCTTGCTAGCATCTACCTTAGCAGTGGGGAAAAAAGAGCTCATCTACCATGCATGATATAAACAGGTACATGTGCCACCTTGGCACCCTGTGACTGGCCAGTACTCCAGAACTCAAGCTAGAAGGGGAAGTTTGTGTCTCACATTTTCTTTTTGGTCTATTGTCTACCATGGTAGTAGAATTCTTTTTACTCGGACTACCCTCAGGTGGTTAGACGACGCCATCATTGACGAGATCACACCCAAGCTGATTGGGGATCGACCGAATACTTACACCTATACCAAGGCCTTGGGAGAGATGGTGGTGCAGCAGGAGAGCGAGAACATCAACATTGCCATTATAAGGCCCTCCATCGTGGGAGCGACCTGGCAGGAGCCCTTCCCAGTAAGCCCTCCTGCCTGGATTCTATGCTTTGCTTCCAAACCAGTATTCTTCTAGCCCAATTACATATATATATATATAATATATATATATAATTTCCCCCTTTTCAGCTGAGTGCAGCAAATCAAACACAAAATGCATTATATTAGGGCAAAATTCCATTCGGTTCAGGACTCACCCAGCATGAGGCTCACAGAAGGTTCTTAGTCTAGAAATACTATTTTTTAGCTCTGTATACTGCTAGATCCTTTTGAAAGTACTTTGAATATGCCATCTTTTTCAAAGCAAGTCTGTGAAGTGCAGGGCCAGGTAAATTCAAGCTCCATTACCTACACCTGGTCAGACACTGCTCACTATGGAGAGCTGATTAAATGGAACAAAGTATGAATGCCTAGTTTTCATAAAAAGCTCAACAGATATTAATCCCCTCATCTTCTCTTCTTCCCTCCCTCCTCTTCCATTATATACACCCATTTGGACTTTTACAGATAAAGAAACAGACATAATAAGGTCAACTGAATTGCCAAGGGCTTAAGAAACAAATTCAGCTAGACGTTCCCCTCTAACCACTCCTAAACGTGCCCCTCCCTGGACATCTCTAAGGAACTCTCTCTCGCACACACACACACACACACACACACACACCCATATCTGTCACAGACTCTGAAGCAATTAGGATTTTCAAGAAACGGAGAGTTCCTATAAATCAAGTTTAAAATGTTCCCGAAGGAGCAGAAAAATTAGGCCTCAGATGGAGAATTATGGCTGACAATTTAGTTAGCAGATCATGATATCAAGACAAGGAGCAATTTAGCCCATTAATTGTCATCGAACAATAGGAAGTTATCCATGACTCCTGCCATGAAATGTAATGCTGGCTAAGTTTTAATTCTGTACAGTAAAATAAGGTACAGAGAATAGCCAGTGCTTTGACATTGATCTGCTTGGGATCCCAGAAATACTACATCAGCTTTATTGGCTATAGTTTCAGTGCTTGTTTGAAATTTATTAAGATTAGACTGCAGATGTCCCAAAGACATAAATTTTCTGAAACGTGTAATTAATGGAGATCTTCTTTTTTCTAGGGTTGGGTTGATAACTTAAATGGACCCAGCGGAATCATTATTGCGGTATGTATAATGATGAGGAATAATCCACTGAAATAAGATGAAGGAGTAACAGAATTCTTAGTGCTGACTTCTCTTCATTGATCCAAAAACAAATGATATCGTCCTAACAAATACAATTTTGAAACTGAGATAACTGGAAAATAGTGGCAGGATGAAATTGCTTTTATACTTTGAGAATTCTACTATCGGGGAAACAGAAGTAATATTATCAACAATTACTGCTTTGTTTGGAGTCTTTGAGCATCAAGGATTTTCCTTTAGGTACTGAAAGTTGATAGTATTCCCTCCCTTTTGCTGTTTATTAATAGCTTGAATTAGCACAAATTGGGGCTGGAGTAAAGATCATATCCTCAGATTATTATACTCCTGATTATAAAACACAAGAGTTTGTGAGTGTCTAGAACAGGGATGTACATTAATAACTAGTTCTTCATAGATAAAAGAGAACCACCCCATGGGAGCACATTGTTCAAATATAAAAATTGGTGAAAATAGGACACACTTTTCTGACAGGAATCCTGTTGCAGACCAGGAGAAGCCTAGCTCTTTCTGCTCAGCAGTCCCAATGCCCTCCCTGCAGTGCAGGTGGAGCCCACTGAACTGTGGAGCCACATACACTGACGCGGGACCACTACCAGAGCTTCACTCTTCAGGACAATGAACAGGATGTCAATGATTTAAATGAGTTAAAATCAGATTAAGGATCATGAATGGCCATTCTTCCAAGACCTAGGGCCACTATGCATTAAAATACAAATGTGAAACAGTGAATTAGGACCAGCAGGTGGCGTGGTGGTTAACGCACTGGAAACTTCCACATGGCCGACCTGGGTTCAAGTCCTGAATCTGGAGGCTTGCTTTCTCACTTCCTCTCTCTCTCTCACCCTCTGTCTCTCTCTGGTCAAACTAAAAAATAAATGAATGAAAAAATAAAATAAATAATTTTTTGAAAATCTATTTAAAAAAAAAAAAAAAAGGACATCAAAAACCAGGACAATGTACCTCTGATTTCTCGATTTTGCTAGTGGTTCCCTCTTTCTGTTCATCTACCTTTAATTCTTTTCCCTTTAAAGTTTAGTTGGGGTGAACACTTAGTGACTTAGAACATCATTATTTTAACAACATCCCAGAGTGGGCTTCATTATATTGTAAAACTGCTTATTTATTCAGATTCTTCAAACTGGTTTCTTAGGTCCAAAAAAAGAAAAACCAGTTATAACAAAAATTAGAAACCAGAATGTGCCAATCATTGTAAGTCAGTGTTGGAAACATGTCAGGTAGGGCCTGGTGGTACAGCAGTGCGTGACACTCTGCCCTGACAGACTCCAATGGGAAGGTCCTGGGTATGGGCCCCAGTCTCCTTGTGTATGCCAGTGTGCATGCCCACAATCTGGACGGGCTGAGGTTGCGGGTGAGCGGCCGTGTGAGGGCACTGCTGGAGAAAGCCTGTCTTTATTCATTTCCTTTCCTCTCTGGCTCTCATGGAAAAAGATCTAATAAGATAAAATTTAAAAAAGATGCAAAGTTTAAGAATCAGCTTACTTCATAAAGCCAATAAATTATGAACATGAATAATTTCCAATTCTTGCATTTATGTAACACCAGTGATCTGTGAGGTGCATTAAAATACTGAAAAGAAAACAATGGTGGCCTTCACACAGGCAAAAAAAAAAGTGATTTGTTTTGTTAAATGATAGGATTTCATCCATTAATTTTTTTTCAAATACGTGTTTCTTAAACTTGTAAATGCCTATCATTTCTTGTACATTTTAGTAAGCACTAACAGGAAACAAAATCATTTAAGAAACAGTAAACAAATATTAATGCAGAATTTGGAAAATCTTTATTCTTAAATGTTTTATGAATTTTTAAGATATAAAAGTTCTGTTCTTGGTATTTGTTATGAAGTAAGCATATTAACCTCTACAAATGTAAAGAATTTTTTTTTGAGAGATTTTCACTGTAGGGCGCGTGCGCTCGCCAGACAGACAGAGAGAGACATAGAGACAGAAAGCGAGAAATCACCTCCCAGGGGGGATGGTCACGCCGCAATCCCTTCTCCTCCATTCTCCTCTCGGGATCTTGGGCACACACGCACACGTGCACGGCGTGAGTTTTAAGCCACCGGGTCCGGGACGCGAACCACGGTCGACTACGTGGGAGTCCAGCAACATAGCCATTACGCTAACTGCTGGTTCCCAAATATAAAGAATTTTATGACCTAAGGGAACTTGAGAACCACGGCATGAAAATGTTGGCATCTGGGATGAACGTAGCTGGGAAGGCTGGATAAACTCAAAGTCAAGACTTAGTATAATAACCTAGTAAGCAGCAAATCAGTGGTAGCTATGTTTACTCACGGCACTGGTGTTCTCTGGGTGATATTACTGCAGCCCTGGTTTAATATTTATGTTCTTTTTCCTGTGCAGGCCGGGAAAGGGTTTCTTCGGGCCATAAGAGCTACTCCGATGGCTGTGGCAGATTTAGTCCCAGTGGATACAGTCGTCAATCTCACCTTAGCAGTAGGATGGTACACCGCAGTTCACAGGTGTGGATGCTTGAGTGGGCTTTCAAAGATCCGATGACAAGGAGGTTGAATATGTTTAGGCCTGTTTGCAAAATTCCTGTCTTGTGTAGAAGACCTCAAATGTGAGAGGGTGTCTATTGTAGTGTTTTATGTAGTTCTCAATATGCCATCATATGTGTAGCGAGTGGTTTTAAAAATACTGCTTAGTACTTGGTTGATCATAAAGTAGTATTTCTACAGTAAAATTTCTTAACCATAAACTGCTTGATAACCAGTAATTCTATTCAGTAATCTAAAATAAAATATAGCTTCCTTTTTCAAGGCACAGGAGAGTAGAAGTTAATACAATGAGAGCAGATTTGGTATTTTATTGAATTGCTCAGTTCCTAATAAATGCCAAAAGTTTAGATCACTGTGTGTGGGAAATTTTGTAGTACAAAGGGAAAAAAAAGATTGTTTATACCTTTGGCTATTAGTAAACAGTAAATAGAATTAAATTTTTCTTATGCACCTATGAGACATTTCTCCTCTCTCTTGCTCGCTCTCTCTCTCTCACTCGCTCTCTCTCTCTCTCCCTCTCTTTCTCTCTCGCTCACACACACACACACACACACACACATGCTTACGCACACACTTTTCCTAGTCTTCCATTTGGCTCATTAACCCAAAGAAGGACCAGCAAATGGACGTGTGGCATAGGTTGCCTTAGTCATGGGAATTACTGAGAACACCCTGTTTAAATGTTCTTTTCCTTTCCTTTCATTAGTTCTCTATTTTGTTCTATTATCTAATTTTTTTTTCATTTTCCAGACCGAAGTCAACATTAGTCTACCACTGTACTTCTGGCAGCCTCAATCCTTGTAACTGGGGCAGGATGGGTAAGTGCCTACTGTGATGTAACTGCATCGCTGCTAGCGTCTTACACAAAGAAAACACGAAAGCATGTTGTAGAGCTGAGGGCCTACTGAGGAAGAAAACCCCCAAATAAGACATAAGTAAGGCTAGTCCACAGCCTAGTGCTTAAGGGAGCCAGATCTTACATGGCTGACTGTAATTTGAATCCCAGTCCCAGAGGCTTGAGAAGGGGGGGGGTGTTATCTGCTAGGTGCATGTGTGTGCATGCTCCAAATCCCAACAGGACAGAGAAATGGGAAGAAAAGGGATAGGGACTGTGACATTACCATGCCACGTGGGGAGTGCTCCTCTCTCACCCCCTACTCTGATGAGCATGTATACCCTCTGACAATTAAAAAAGAGAGAGGAAGTACTTACAAACTATAAATGTGTCATAGCTAACTAAAATGCACTGTGGCATACCAAAGAAAGAGGTCAGTGGGAACATATACATCATTATAAGCATGATTATAATCCCACTGGCTATGGAATTTAAAAAACAATAATAAAATCACACAAAACTTGGCAATTATAAACAATATCGAAGAACATATTTCTTTACTCTGGGACAACTGCTCCCACACACAGCTCTTCTCCTCTTGATTATCACTAAGAATGTAAAATCATCAATGACCAATGAGATTTAGTAAAGTCAAATAAGACACCTTTGTTGCTACATTAGTGATATTCTTCATTAATTTATGTAGTTGACCCTTGAGTGTACAAAGAGTGCAACCTTGAAAGTATCTTGTTAAACTGAAGCAATTAATTTGCACATTTAGAAAATCTTGTACTCTTTTGTCGATTTGCAAGTGTGTGTGTGTGTGTGTGTGTGTGTGTGTGTGAAGGTCCAACATTTTAAATCATATAGCTGTTGCTTATAGTTTGAAAAAAATCAAATGTACTTAATTAGTCTGATTTTTAATTCAGAGCACTCTGCTATGCTTTTCTATTTACAGAGTTATTACTTCTGTAGAATAAAAGTAAGTTATTTATTATTATCCAAATTTTTCAGTCATAAATCCAGTTATTTAGGTCACTAAATTGTTCTAAAAACATTTGGAAATAGAAACAAATCTCTATTTGCCTCAGTATCAGAATTAAAATATCTAAGATACCACCCATAAAAAGGAACATTTAAAAAAGCACAAATATCTTATATTCTCAAATAAAAAGATGCTACTTCTAGACTCCATTTGTGAGATTAAAAATAGTCTTTCTCTATCCTGAAAGCTCCTAGTACATGTGCCATTACAGAGTGTCACAGTTGAAAGGGACCTAAAAATCAACTCTGTCCATCACTTTGTTTTACAGGTGAGGCCAAGAGAGTAAATGACTTCTCAGGGTTATAATGGGAGCCAGATTTTAAAAAAAGAAGCAAAGGCCACATATCTTGCCTCTCAAACATGCAATAGCCACTCCACTAGTGATTCTTGAAAGTGAATATGAATCTGTGAAAGAAAAAAAAAAAAAGAAATCCCAGATTCACTGGACCTAGCCCCAGGTCTCAGGCAGTGCCGAGCAAGTGCGATGTGTTTTACTCATGACTCATGACAGAACATGCACATCCATGATTCACTGGACCTAGCCCCAGGTCTCAGGCAGTGCCGAGCAAGTGCGATGTGTTTTACTCATGACTCATGATAGAACATGCACATCCATGAGAGAGGCTCCCGCCACAGGATTTGGTCATGCCGCACTCTCCTTCCTCCAGTCCTCTAGGCTGCCAGGATCCTGGGCAGGCATGCTGGCGTGATTTAAGTATACCATCAACAGCTAATGACGGCAGAGGGCAGACGTAGGCACTTCGGCTGAACTGTAGGTTTTCTTAGTGCCCACTAGCACACCTCTTCTTTCCCTGTCACATGTGTAACAACATATGTAAGTATTGCTACCCATTCAACAGCAAGGCATGGTTCCAACCTGGGAAAAGTACTGAGGATGCTGGGGCTCATTCTATGGTAGACTTTGACCTGAAGAAGGCTTTCCTCAGAATGACGAATACTTGTCATGCAAGCTTCCTTTATTCACCTCACACCACAGCAGACATTGGGAGCATTCTTCTCCCCCTGTGGCAAGACTGTACTTAGATACTTTTTAACACAGCATTTCTGAAAGCTATTACCAATTAATTTGATTTTGCATTCGAGTTGAAACTCCCTGGGTTTCCTATCCGGGCTAGGAATAATCAAACAGCTTCCTCTTAGGACCACTAGCTGTAGGATACAAGATTGAACATTCTTAGCCTCAGGTGACATTACACAGTGAGACAGCTGGGATGGTTAACATGGGCACTTTTTCCATTTTG